GCTTGTCACACTTGAGACCCGGCTTCGAATCCCCACACGGGTACAATGTGTGAAGCCCTTTTCTGGTGTCCTCAGCCGTGATATAGCTGGAATATTGCTAAAAGCGGCATAAAACAATACTCACTCACTCTTAGTGCAATGAATAATTTGGAAATGCCTGCAACCATGTTTCAAACTGGAAATAATTATGTCTCCCCCAGAATGAAGGGAGACATATTGTTTTTGGCACGGTTCCCGTCGGCGTCGGCGTCGGCTTCCCCACCATTTCCGGACCATAACTCAGAAACCGTTTAATATTTTTTTCGCGAAACTTTGTATACACATTAACCCAGCACTGAAGTGGTGCCTTTTGCTATTTAGAGATTTCTGACATTTTTATTTTTTCTCGTTTCCATGGAGATAACTTGAACATAGACTCTGAATGGGGGTAAGCTTGGTTTCCGGACCATAACTCGGAAACCGTTTAATATTTTTTCGCGAAACTTTGTATACACATTAACCGAGCACTGAAGTGGTGCCTTTTGCTATTTAGAGATTTTTGACATTTTTATTTTTTCTCGTTTCCATGGAGATAAGTTGAACATAGGCTCTGAATGGGGGTAAGCTTTGTTTCCTGACCATAACTCAGAAACCGTTTAATATTTTTTCGTGAAACTTTGTATACACATTAACCCAGCACTGAATAGGTGCCTTTTGCTATTTAGAGATTTTTGACATTTTTATTTTTTCTCGTTTCCATGGAGATAAGTTGAACAAAGCTCTGAATGGGGGTAAGCTTTGTTCCCTGACCATAACTCAGAAACTGTTTAATATTTTTTTCGCGAAACTTTGTATAAACATTAACCCAGCACTGAAGTGGTGCCTTTTGCTATTTAGAGATTTTTGACATTTTTATTTTTTCTCGTTTCCATGGAGATAACTTCAACATAGACTCTGAATGGGGGTAAGCTTTGTTTCCTGACCATAACTCAGAAACCGTTTAATATTTTTTCGCGAAACTTTGTATACACTTTAACCCAGCACTGAAGTGGTGCCCATTAGTTGTTTGAAATTTCTAGGAGTTCTATTTTTGTCTCTGTTATTTAGTAATGGAGGGTGGGAATGAAGAGATGGTGTTTAACGTGAAGTAAACGAATGAATTGGGGTTAGGGGAGTGGGGGGAGACATATGTTTTTACGAGTAAAAACACTTTCTAGTTAGTCATGAAATTTATGCAAATGTAACCCCAAATGCAGATCTGTGTTGAAGCAATGAGGGAAAAAGAATAACATTATTGATGTTTGTGTGTGGGGGGAGGGTGTGTGTGTGCGTGTGGTGGATTGCAAAATCATCTTCAATTATGGAAACAAGAAAAGCTGGAGTATAATATGATTTCCACTGTAAGTAAGTGAAATGTAAATAATTTGAGGTTTACAACACTGTTAACAGGTTAATACCATCATCGTTATACAGATTGACAATTATGAGATATTTTTGTTTTAATTTTTGAGAGGAAATAGTATAGTTGATATGTACCTTTAAATTTGTATTTAAAATAGATCTCTGAAGGCATCTAATTCTATTATGTCTAAAAAAATAAAATTGACTATTTAAAATATGAATTTTTTACTTATCCTGCATTACTCCTTACTGCATATTACTGCTTGTTCTTGACAGGAAAGAGCTGTGTGAAGATCTTTGCTTGAAAAAGTTGTTCCAACTAGCTGAGAGGCCAACCCTATCACACAGCTCCAAGGGAAGTGACGTCACGTCACGGATCCTCACATTACTCTTGTCACTTGCTGAGTAAAGACCTGTTTTTGATCTGTAGCATAAAACTTGTTCAAACCCTCACATGTTTTGCTTCTTGAGGTAATGTTCATTGAGCTTGTGTTGTGCATACGATTTGTTTCTTTGTACATTGTATGCATAACCTTTTTTACACCTGCTGGTGTTTTTTTATAAAAAAAACTATGGTTAACGCAGTTGACTTGTTTCAAGTAGCCATCTTGAATATATTACGTGACCACAAGTTAAGAACTGGCGTACGTTCTATATTCTTCTTCCTTGGTACCTCACTATTGTCGTACCTTTGCAAGTACATTGTTTTGTCATTGTATGTTGTCTTACCTTTGTCGTAATATTTGTTTTATAAACCCACGTAGTGGGAAAACAAATTATAGCTTACATAATTGGGCAGGGTCACATTGTGATTTTACACTGCTTCATTCCAGATAACATGCCATCCTGTTCCAAGTGCTCGTGCAAGATGTCCGACACCTCCGAGGATTCGCCTACTAAGAGATCAGCTACCTTTGACATAAACTCCCTGGCCTCCCGACCACCAGGAGCCTATATGACGACAAAGTGGCTATCCTTTGAGCGCTTTTGCAGGGAAAAAAACAGCACGACCCCAATACTGCATTGCCTCAATTCTTGGCCGAGTTCCTGCTCTATCTTCGCCACAAGCGTAGGCTCAAGGGTAGTACCATAACGACCTACCTTGTGGCACTCAACTCCGGAAGATCGGTGCATGACAAAATTCCCGGAACTACAGGCTCTGCTCTGCTCATTCAGGTTGGAAGACCACAAGGTGAAATTTCGTCCACCAGCTTGGGACCTGAACGTCATTCTCACCTCGATGCGGCGATGTTCTACTATCTGACGAAAAAAACGGTCTTCCTCCTGGTGCTCGCCAAAGCCGCTCATGTCAGTGAGCTACACGCCCTGGAAGTCAAACGCGTCCGCTTTGAGCATGGAGCACACGGAGCCGTTCATCTCGGACTGTGCTTGGACTTAGTTGCCGAGAACCAGCTCCCAGGACAGCCCGATAAATAGTTCCTCATCCCTCCCCTGTATTTGATTGTGGGAATGAAAGACAAACAAGAGCTCCATCTGTACCCGGTAAGAGCGCTCCGTTGTTACATCCATCAGTCCAAGGAACACTGCAGACAACGCTGCCGCCTCTTTATACTGGTATCTGCGACCTTGTGAGCGGAAGTCAGATGCAACACTATCGCCCTCTGGCTATGAGCCATCATTCTCCAGGCCTCCGAAGCAGCAGGATTGGACCCCCCCCCCCCATGCTCCTACAACCCACATGAGATCAGCAACTGCTCTCTATGTGCTATCATGGAGAGGTGTTTATTACGATCGAACACAGTCCTCACCAGTCACTACCTGCAAGACATCGCATTGGAGGATGTGCAAGGCACGCACAGGTTTGGTCCGTTAGTAGTGGCCCAACAGGTCACCACTTCTAGATGCTATTGACCTCGCCTCCAGTCAGAGCCAGGCTCTCGACCTCCCCAGGCTTAAGTGCCCTGGAGTAGAAGGTTCATGCCCACTTGCATAAGGCTCGGTACGTCAGTCTACAACGTTAATTTGAGTAAGGTTATTGTCTATGGCTGCGTTGTACCTTGACATATCGCATACCTGACTCTTGGTTCATTTGATGCACACAGCCGAAGATTGGCTGAGGAAAACAAGAGTTCTGAGATGAAAGTCCACATCTGAAGGATAAAGATGCATTAAGGAGTAATGCTGGATAAGTAAAAAATCTAGTAAAATCCTAGATATATTTTATATTTGTATACTTATCCTGCATTACTGCCTCTGAAGGGACCCGCCCATCGCAGATCTACCGCCCCACGATGCCTTCCGATGTTTCGGACTCCAGAGTAATGTGAGGATCCGTGACATCACTTCCTTTGGTCACGTGGAGCTGCGTGATAGGGTTGGCCTCTCAGCTAGTTGGAACAACTTCTTCAAGCAAAGACCTTCACACAGCTCTTTTCTCTGTCAAGAACAAGCAGTAATATTGATTAAGGAGTAGTGCAGGATAAGTATACGGATATAAAAAATATCTAGGATTTTACTTGTTATATGTAGTTGATAACATAATTTGCTTGTACCTGTTTCTTTCACCATTTCCTGAAAATAAATTTCTTACCTCTTACAACATACCTACTACATAGGTACCTACTACTACTAAATATTTGTGTTGCTGTCAAAAGTAACTATTTTCTGATCAACATTGCATGTTGCATAAGACCTTCACATGTCGCATACTATCACCTAGGCTGTACTCATTCATGCATATAGCCTAATTGGTGATAATATGACATACATATGGATGTGTACACAACTAGGATATATGTTATGTTTAAAAGTGTGGAATTCAAACATCAAGAATAATGGTTTAAAAACCTATTGCAAAGCGTCAACAAAGCGACCTGAAATGAACGATCAACTGATTGCATCACTTTGCTTCAGTTGTGAAGATACACTGACCATACATACACCAGCGTGAACGTTACTGTTAAAGGTGAAGGCTGTACAGGTTAACCGTCATTAGTGGTACAGTTACACATACCACTCATATGCCGCATACCACATGCTGTCATTTTAAGAACAGTGCATCTTGCTTTTTAGTGAAGGAAAGATCAATTAACAAATATCACCCATTTAAAAAATTGGTATCAATTTAAAAAAGATTCTATTTATACAGCAAAAATTTACAGATACAACATTATCACAATATACAATAATATCAACAATGTTAGACACGTTTTGAAAATGTAATTTTTTGCCTGTTATTCATTTTTGCATTTGTGATTTTGAAATTGTATTAGCATCAAGTATGTAGTATAATTAGATATGTTTTTGTCAAATAATAATTTTTAATAATGCTACATTGAAACTACAAAGCCTATGGAGCTGAATCTTTGTGTGAATTATCCCACCTTGTTTCTAGATATTGTACACAAAATTCCAACCCTACTTTAAACATGGCCGCCATTATTTCTGCATAAATTAGGTGAGCTACAGAGCCTTGTGACTCTATTTTTGTAATCATACATATTTCAATAAGATTTATGCCTGTGCGTGGCAGGGAATGATATCATCAGAATATTAGATACATCAGTACTGGATGTATGATGTGGTGCATTTGAAATCCCAGTGTATTAAGGAATCATTTAAACCTCAATATTTTATACTGTGCTGTGTTTATCTTCCAGATATTGACTTGTCCTACAATGATCTGCCTCGAGTGCCTGAAGCTCTGTATAAACTCAGCTCCCTTCGACGCCTCAATTTGTGCAACAACCAGATCTCTGAGCTGTCCCTAATGATAGGTATGGAAACTCTCTGAACTTGGTACAGCTATTGGATGAAAGAAATCAGGAATATAGGAACTGATGGGTATTTAAGATACTTGTTTTAAGATACTTGTAACAATCACCATGGAACAGTCAATACCATACAAATCATCCAAGTAAAGCCAAGCATAAAACAACAACTTGTGTCCAGGACTATTTATGATTGGAATTATATGGAACAATTCTCTTTCAGATTAAATCCTCCTTGGGGCACTTATTGCATTTTCCTTGCTCAAGAAAATCTACTTGACATAGTTGTAACCATTTTCCTTAATAAAAAATGTTACCACACAAAAAAATCTGTTTTTGTATGATATACGACCACCCTTACAGGGCCTAACCCCCGATGGCGCCTCACGCCAGGGGGAGCAACTCTCACCCAAATCACTTTCCTTATGTCATCTGTAAGAGACAGACGTGCCGATTTTTCACACAAGACAAAATAAGAGAATCTATTGTTCGACAAGAACCATGGCTAACCAAACTGTATGTATGGTACATTTCTTTCTTTGCAAAGGCGTAATACCTCACATTGTAAAGTTATAGAGTTGTAATTATACGCCACGTGCACGGTAATGGCGTCCATATTGTAGTTCCACGGGCTGATACATGTAACACCAAGGCCATTAGAAACGGCTTGGGGTTTTGTTATATCATACAGAATTGGTCTACAATTTTTTCCTTTACAAAAACCCATGGTGGGGTGTTAATTTATAAACTACACTTACCTTTTTTACGGGTTTTACACCTTAGCGCGTAACACACCCCTTTGGTATTATAATTATACTACGACATTGGCTATTAGTATCGCACGTATTTATGCACGTATCTTTCCGATCTTTATATCGCACTGATACACTTTAATACCCTTCCCGCCCACCTCAGAAATGATGGTCTTTTTTACAAAGACCTTCAAACTGTGTACGGGTTGTTTTAAGACAGGCACGAACGCTGCCTAAAATGTCTGGCAGAGGACGGGCATGATGATGGGTCATGCCCGATATGCATTGCCTTAACCCCCCGGGCCCCCCAAAAGATACAAGTTGATTTGCTCCACTTAAGAGATCTATTAAAGACGGGGGTAGATATCAGATCTGCTAAGACCTCCCCCCCCCCCCCCCTCCCCATCTAAAAAGGGTGAAAAAGCTGCCGAGACTGTCTCCCCCGTTCCCCCTCCGGGGGCCGGGGGAGAAGGCTCGAGGGTCCCCGTAGTAAGCACTGCACCCTCTCCTGCACTCTTTGGCAGACTTTTCTGCGTTTCTTAAGTCGCAGATGGCGTCGATGATGGAGAAGGTGAAGACTCGGCTCCGGCAGGAGCTACGGGCTGAGCCTTCCCCGTTGTCGGCGCCGGACGTGGCTTCGAGACCTTGTGTTATGCCCGGCGTCGGCCGAGGCAGACCACTTGGTCTCGGGGATGATCCGAGACTGGGCTTAGGCTCCGGCTCGAGGTCGCTCCCCAGCGGAGGGGTGGCGGGCACCGGCCCGTGCACTACCAACGCACAATTTCCCCTAGCAGAGCCAGACGCCTCTTCAGAGGCTGAGGCTTCCACTAGTGGATACCTAGCCCAGTGCCAGGTGGGTTCCTTTGAACCCCTGGCACCTCGGCACCGGGACTCGGCTTTGGGCCGGGTGCAGAGGCACGTGCGGGACAGGATTGTCCAGGTACTGCCTCAGGTGGCTGCGCCCATGCCAGAGTGGGAGACCCCCAACTTGACTAAGGTCAAGCAGGGCCGGCGGTTGCCCCCCTTTCCCGCGTGCGGTGTGGAGTTGAAGGCTGCTTACATATGCTTCGAGGAGCAATATCATAATGCATGCCAACAGCTCCGTGTGTCCGTACACTCCGCGTATCTGTCTGCTGTGCAGAGGGAGTTAGCGGGAGAGGGGCCGGCCGACTATTTGGAGTTGGCCGCGCAACTAACGGAAGTTCAGTCATCTTGCGCGAGACACTTTTCGTAGCTGTGCCTCGCAGATGATGTGCGCTGTTATGGGCATGCGCAGGCTGTGGATGTCGGTATCTAAATACTCGACTTCCACACACCAAGACCTACTTGCTTTGCCGTATAAGATGGGTGCCACCCTCTTCCCTTGGGCTCAGCAGGTGGTCCGAGAGGCTGCTCAATTGTATACTTCCATCAAAGACTCTAAGGCCTTGTTGGAGGTACCAAGCGTTAAAACCGTGTAAGCGGGCCTCTCCACTTGACCCATCCTACGCTGACGCACCGGGTCAGAAGTCCACACCTGCTTGGAAGCAGCCGCTTCCTTCAGGTAAGGGCGCCGGGAGGAGCAAGAGAGGCAGGGGCCGGGGCAAGGCAGCTGGTCGAAGCCAGCAGCTTTTTCGCGGGGCCAGGAACCCATGGGATTCCCATTAGCGCCCGAAGAGCCCCGGGTGGACCAACAGTCGCAAGTTATCGAACTGCCGACAGCCGGGGTCCACTGCCTCAAGCCGGATGTCCCCGTAGGCGGCCGACTGGCTCTATTCCTGGAATGGGAGACAGTTACATCACAATCCCCGGACCCCGTCCACTTTAAGGGATGGCCATTTGCCTCGGTGGAAACATCATCCGCCCCCCTTCTCCGGGATAAGGCACACTCCGGTGCCTGCTACCCGAGAGAAGGCGGAATTCCTCCGTGCCGAGGTCGACGCACTTCTTATGAAAGCTGCGATCGAACCGGGTCCTGAGGGACAGGAAAGCGAGGGCTTCTACTCGACTTATTTCCTAATCACCAAACAGTGATCTCAGCTGTCGAGACAGGAGAATGGCTATCGTCAATAGACCTAAAATACGCCTGTCTCTACTTACCCATACACCCCGAGTTCAAGAAATACCTGAGGTTTTCTTTCGACGGGAGGTGTTATCAGTTCAGGGTCCACGGCCCCGAGGGTGTTCACCAAGCTGATGTTGATTCCTGCCCAAGTGGCCAGGTCGAAAGGTCGGTTCTGCCATCCGTACCTCGTCGACTGGTTACTAAGAACTCTATCGCAATCCCTGAGTCAGATAGCTACACAAGAAGTGATAGACATTCTGATCACTCTAGGGTGGATAGTCAATCTCAAGAAGTCAGATCTGAGCCCTACTCAGAATCTAGTCTTCCTAGGGGCGAATTTCAACACGGTGAGAGGACGTGTATCTCTGTCACAAGATATCAAGTTCCTTATGCGCAAGTCACACTGCTCGTACACCAGTTACTGGGCAACATGGCAGCGACAGCGGATATGGTCTGGCGGGCGCGCTTGAGAATGAGTCCCATTCAACAAGCACTCCGTCGACTTTGGGCGAACTCGGAAGATCTCGAGACTGTGCTCGAGACTCCGTAGTGGCTCATTACACACCTTCAGTGGTGGACCGAGGTTGGGAATCTGTCCCGGGGGCTCCCCCTCGACACTCCCGTTCCGTCTCTCACAGTTCAAACAGACGCGTCACTCTCCGGCTTCGGAGGCGTTCTGAATGATCACACTGCCTCGGGACTATGGTCCCAGCAGGAGATCAAACTGCATATCAATGTGCTAGAACTGAGAGTGGTCAGGTTGTGTTCCAACGCTTCCCGGATCTGCTTCGTGGCCAAGTGGTTCGTCTAGAGATGGACAACCAAACGGCGATGACTTACATCCGGAAGCAGGGGGGAACGGCGTCTCCGTCGCTTTTGCCAAGAGACGTTGCAGTTCCTACTATGGTGCGACTCTCATGATATCAGGGTGCTACCTGTTTATCTCCCGGGGGTGGACAACGTCCGTGCGGATGCTCTGTCTTGCAGGATCCTCGCTCCTCATGCACGAGTGGAGGCTCGACCCAGGGATATTCGGGATTTTCTCCCTGTTATACAGGTTTTTACAGGTGGATCTGTTTGCGTCTGGGGTGAATCACGGCCACCCACCTCCCCACATTCCGTCAGCATTTGACATATGGAAAGTGATTTGGGTGAGAGTTGCTCCCCCTGGCGTGAGGCGCCGTGGGGGGTGAGGCCCCGTAAGGGTGGTTGTATATCATACAAAAACGAAGTTTTTTGTGTGTTAACATTTTTTATTAAGGAAAATGGGTACAACTATGTCAAGTAGATTTTCTTGAGCAAGGAAAATGCAATAAGTTCCCCAAGGAGGATTTCATCAGAGAATTCATAACCTCTACAGGTTTGTAAAAAATTTAGATAAGGGGCTGGGGTCTCAATCACATCAACGTTTGGGTGTTGTGGAAGTTAGGTGAGGATCACTAGAAGTCTTGTTATGAAACATGGCTCAAGTTTCAGGAAATGTTGGAATAATTCATATTGAAATCAAAGCATTTTCCAATCAGTTGAGATATAATCTTAGTGTCTAATAGACCACCTATTATTCGTCATGATTGTGTCAGGTCACATTGAAGGTTATTTGCTCATGAGATGACCTTTAAATAGTTTCATTCAGGAAGTATTGTCAGTGTGGTATGGAGCCTTCATCTTCCAGGGGCAAGGGAGTAAACTTACTCTAAAACGCTAATTTTTTTTACTTATCCTGCATTACTCCGTATTTCATTTACTGCTGTCCTTTGACAGAGAGACGAACTGTGCGAGATCCGGCTGCTGAAGAAAGTTGTCCCAACCAGTACAGGAAGCAGCGCCCTCTCTGACCCGGAAGTCATGACGTCACATCAAAACTCATAACTGCTTTGTCACCTCCACAGACGGACATACTTTGTATCCCTTGTGGAAATTAAAGCTTATTGTTTCTATATTTTGCGTGTTTCTACATTTATCGTATGCTGCTACATTGTTACCTGTTTATGGGCTGTTACCTTTAGGGTCTTCCCCATTCGTAATTTGTAACGTTTATCGCTTGTTTGTGGCTCTAGTCACAGTAATTTACGGGCGTAATCTTGTTCCCGCCATTTTGTTTCTTTCCCGCCTTTTTTGCCATTCACCATGTGGCCACGTAATTTCGTGTTCTGCGATTTGAATTCTTTCTTTGGCTTGGGTAAAACATTAAATTTATGTATTATGTTTTT